TGATATTTTAACATTAGGTGGGGTTAGTTAAGTGAAACTAAAAAGTAGAACTAGGATAATTTGTAGGATAAAAATTTATAGTGTTAGCCCATTAGAATTAGAACTAGAATAAAACTTTATCGTGTTAGTCAACTAGAACTATTACAGAGCTAAAATTGTGATAACTGCACAAAATTATACCACTTTTTATTTTTCTATATAACTAGATGATAAAAACCAGAACTCTCCATTTTATTTTCTTATTTTATATTTTTGATATTTCTTTGAATTTTCCTTTACCTCTTTCCTCTAATAGTCATCGCCATAATTGACTATGCTATTAGGTCGAACCCCGTCTCCTCTTAGTCATCTCTTATATATTCTTTTTTTATCAAGTATTATAATAATATAACAAGTTAAAAGTAAAGAAAGTATACATCCACAAATTATTTAAAAATAAAATGAAGAGATGATAATGTGACGCCCCTGGTTTCACACAAGCCTGTAGTCCAAGGTAAACCCGGAGATGCCAAACCTGCCATGCAACACACTATGCAACAACAAGTTTCACCATCATAATAATATTTCTCTAGTGGAATCAATAACAAGTGTAGGTACAAAACAAACAAAATAAGATAAATAAATATCATAGACATAATATAGAGAGAGATATCCAATAAATATGATCATGGCCCAATTGTATAAATACTGAATACAACAGAAGTCTAAAATGAAGATGAAATGAATAAGCACATAGAGTTAAATGAATATAGACTAAGGCAATCAGCCATCTCAAATGAAGTACAACTCTAATGATCAACTAAACCATAAATAAACGACTGTGGAGTTTACTCTAATACCAATAAGCGACGGCGACTATACTGTAAATTCATCAACCTGCGGCTCTCCAAAACTCTGATCCACGGCTTGAAAAGAAATTAAAAATAACAGAAAGAACAATAACAAGAGCGTCAGGCCCAGGGGAAGGGCTGCTAAATGGAGTGGATGTTCTATCTATTAAGCATGGTCTACCTAGATCATTTACCCTGTATCTAAGTGGAATTAACATTTAGAAATCCACAACACGAGACATAGTATATCGAGCGAAATAATCCAAACAAGGAAACCCTCATGTATATACCATATGTCTCAAATTATAGATATCTAAACATTAATGCCAAACTAAGAAATAAAGAAGATAGTACGGGAAAGTAAAGACATCAATATATCATATTTATAATATCTTCCATTATCACTTGGAAGATAGAATAAATTTTAGCACATAATCTCATGAACTTTCAAAGTCAAAGTACATCGGTCTTACATCTCAGCGATGATTCAAATTCATTAATGGAATCCACAAAAACTCAGGCTATCAACAATCGTCACAATGCAAATACTAAGTTCTAGATTCTTCATATTATCATGTGTAACGGACTACCCTATAGGTATCCTAAACAGTTTACACGACTCATTAGTCTCATCGTGATCTCAGTGCGTAACATGAGTGTGGGACGACCTACTATGTAAGTATCCGAAAAAATGACTCATAAGCCTCATCACACCCTCGTGCAGACGGACTACTAGACAAAGCATCCAAACCCAACTCAATGGCCTGTAGAAATAGAATATCGAGGCACTACCATACGTAGTACTGAACTGAGCTCATGAATGATATTCATCTCGTGTATAAACTATATATATCTGAGATATCGACGCACTATTCCATATAGTATTAAACTGTGCTCATCAACGATATCCAACATGTGTATAAACAACCTCTAACTCAAGTGTAATCAGATCAAAACTCGTCATAATCCCCTTCAGGATACCTATATGTGTGCAACGACACTGTACTTGTGTACCGGTGAATTTATGTGTAAAGAACTGCGACTCAAACCCCGCGAATGCATCTAAAAATGGTGCAAAACATCACCTAGGAAAAACTATACTTAGTAGTCGACTACTAAGCTTAGTAATCGACTACACTGAGTCCATCCAGACTCTCTAAAGTCAAAATCAGTGTTAGTAGTTAACTATTAAGCACATTAGTTGACAACTCTACAATGATCAAGTTTTTAGAAATCTAAATTGAACATGAGTAGCTGACTACTAAACTTAGTAGTCGACTACTCTGTAAAGCAGGAGTTTTTACATGCACGAACAGGACATATTGATCTAATGTACATATCATGAAGTTAAAAATAAGATTTTATATCTTACCTACACCACAAAGATTTTATGGATCTATCTGCATCATAATACTAAATTATTAAATCTTTCAAATTAGGGTTTGTCATCCTAATTAATTAATTTCCTCAATTAACTTATATATAAACAAAATAATTATCAACACATGATAAAAACTACTCTTGAATAGAGGTAAAATTCATTTAAACATGCTTATTTTATTTAGTTAATCACAGACCTAGGATTTAAGCATCATTAATTAACATGAAAACTCAATTGATTATTACTCTAGGTTTTAACATGATTTAAGCATGATTAATAAGTTAAAAGTGAAATTAATTCCAACCCTAATGATCATGATCATGAATCTAATACAAACAATAAGGAAAAACTATAGTTCTAGCATTGGATTAAGATTTATCATCAAAATTTGATTTTTAACACACCGGTTTAAGCTTAAACATGAAAACATCATTTAAAACATCTTAAAACTTTAACTAATTATAGGAAAAGGTTTGGATGAGGATAATCTTACCTCAACGCTGTGCCGAAATTCCCAAACGAGCGTTCGTGCGAGATCCTCCTTCACTACGATTGCTAGACTATGTTTCCTCTCCACAAGCACCTATGGAACTCCTAGAAATTTACAGCAAGGTTTGAGAGGAGAAAGTGGCTCTGTAAAACTCACGTAGTTCCTTGTAGAGTGTTTGAAAACTTGATAAAATGTTTGGAGTTGTGTTTTTTTGATAGTGACCTCTCTTATAAATGATGAGTCTCTGTTAATCTAAGAGCTAAGTCCCACGTCCTCAGGTTTCTTTAACTAATGGGCAATTATGCACTCTTGTTTGCCGTAAGCTCTATAAATATGCAATTGGGTTGCTTTTGACGGTACAATCATTCAATAAACATTTAATTCTTTTAACTGGTGAGGTTTGCTGTCATCACAGCACCAGCGGCGTCCCCAGGAACAACGACGAAAGCGCTCAGGGCGTGATGATTAGTTCAGTTTATATTTTACAGCAACACTGAGAAAATGCATCCCCTTTGTATCTAAAATAAAATAGTGACTACACACACATTCCACTTATATGGATCACAATACGGGTCCTAATACGTACACACGAATCCTACACGAAACTAGAAACGACAAAAAACAAAATCGATCCGAACTCAAACCTACACAAACAGAGAAGAACCCCATTGGTCGACCAATAAGGTACCATTGGTCGACCAATTGGGTGTCATTGGTCGACCAATGGTGCCTGATTGGTCGACCAATGAGCGTTTGTTCCTTGTATACCCTGTTTTACTCTGTAATAACCTCATATATGTATATTTATACATTGTTTTGATCTCAAATTAATCCTTAGCATACTCAAACATCAATATATGTCTTAGAGATTAATAATACTAGAAAATATGTTGAGGGGATAATCCAGACAAGGAAACCCTCTCGTACATATCTTGTACCATTAATCCCTAGATATGAATCATTAGCAATCATTTATACTTAACAATGTAGAATACGAATACTCCCACTTAACCCCTAACTAAGCAGAACTAGTACGTCAGGTGAAAAATCCAAACAAGGAACCCCCCATATATATGCCATGCATTCCGAGTGATTAGAAGCTAAGTGTTAATACCCTCATTCTTTCGTTAAATATAAATATGACCATATAAACAAATCATAAACATAAGCAAACCATAATCAAATCAATTTACATGCTCAAACA